GTGGGAATGCCCAGCGTGTCGCAACCGGCCCCCCCCCCCTTCTCCACCCTGAGCTGCTTGTCCCCAGGAGCCCTGTGCAGGGCAGGGGGCGGGGCAGAATTTCCCGGGATTCAGTGCACCCGTCTGATGGAATCACTGAAGCACTGCCCTTAGGTGTGTGCTCAGTCTCTTCAGTGAAATGCCGAGCCCCTCAGATGTCCCCCTTCCCGCTCTTCTCCGAGCTGATGAGTGAGGGGGTGGGGCAGGGGCGCCGGGGAACCTGGCCTCCCCTGGGGGCTCCAGAGACCCCCATGTCCTGACCCCAGGGCAGGGTCTAAAAAATTGGATGAGTCTAAGCTAAGACAGTATTAAGCCATTTATATAAATAAGACTAAGGAACAGAGAGCTAAAAAAACACTCTCAGCTTCACAGCACCTGGCCCTGTTCCCTCAAAGAGCCGTTAAGGTGACATGGGAGCCAAAGGCAGGTAACGACTTCAGCAAATGCCAATCACCTCCCATTTGGGACTTAGGATTCTGAAATGATACATGGCTGTACATGGAGTAATTAATTATAGAAGATTAGCTAGGCTATGATTCAACTTAAAATTTGAGTTCCTAACTTGCTGCCTCTTCTCCTTGGTCATCCCAGCTGGCTCCATCTCGGAACTGGGAGTCGCGTTCGGGGCGACGCCCTGGGAGTTTGAGTCAGGGCGCCCTCTCGGGAAGGATGCCGGGCAGCCCTGCTCCTCTCTGCCTCCCGCTCCCTGGTGGAACTTCCCCACCAGCAGCGCAGCTGATCCCGGGTAATGGGAGCTGGACCCCGATTTAAAGTTCTAAACCTTCCACTCTGGAAGTGCCAGTAAAGAGGATGCCATGATGCTGGGAGGGGCCACATTTCCCCCGCTGCCCCACCGGCCAGTCCTCCTTGGAGACGGGACCTGGGTGCGCACTCAGCCTTGGCAACAGGGTTGCAGACTTCCAGTCGCGCTGCCATTTGAGTGGCAGCTCAGTGGGAGGCCTAGATCTGCACAATGGAGGCAGCCGACTGGGGAATACACCAGCCCTTTTCCCAGGCCCCCCACAGAAGGGGGAGGCAAGGCCGAGGGCGCATTGAAAGTGCTCTCTTTCCGGCATCCCATGGCTCCGTTCCCCACCGCTGTCCTGCTCAGTCAGCAAGCTTTCAGACTCTCAAGTGGCAGTTCCATGATTTTGACAAGGAGTATGATTCTGTGCTCCTAAGAAAGGATTCAGGACGGGGACAAAGGTTCCTTCGTCCCATTCTGACACAGCACACAGGAGGGGGCCTGGCAGGGAGACGCTTACATTCCCAGCGAGGGACGGAGATTTTATTCCAAGGGAGCTGGGGAGTCACTGGAAGGTGCAGGCATCCAAGCACAGGGTGTGCTCTGGAACTCGGGGACAGTGTGTGCCTTGAAGTAGGGGAAAGGTTATGGGCTCTGTCTTCTCCCACATAAATTTTAACGACATGGTAGAAACTTGGGGTTGAAAGGAACAATTTCTCGAGGCCTCGATTTCTTGAAGGCTTTACCCTACTGGCAGTCATCTTCAGGGATCCCACCATCAGATGCAGTCAGGCTGTAGCCTGTGAGGGGGATCCTGGCTCTCTGGGCCAACACGCAGCGTGATGAACTAATCAGTAACTACGGACTTGGTGCCAGCCACGCCCTGGCCCCGGGCTGGGCACCAGGCAGAGTGGTGAAGCCGACTCAGCCCCTGTCCTTAACACGCTCCCGATCAGTAACCGGTACTGGTTGGGAAAGATTTGCTCCAATTTCATGTGGCTTCTACAAGTTACATAAAAAACTCATCCCAAGTTAAAACATCTACAGAGTGAAGTGGGGAGGGTGTAGCTCAGTGGTAGAGCACGTGATGTGCATGCACAAGGTCCTGGGTTCAATCCCCAGTACCTCCATTAAAATAAATAAACCTAATTATCTCCCCCACCATGAGATTTTTTTTTAAAGATGTACTGGAAAGCAGAAAGGGGGAAGCAGTTAGATGACGGAACAGCAGCATGCTAGTACTCCAGGGAAGCTCAGTACCAACCAACAAACACAAAGGAAATACATTATAACAGCAAAAAACTGGAGAGATTTGCAGAAACAAAGATCATCCGTCCCAAGAGAGACAGTCAACAACCTGACCCCAGCACTTGGGTGCACACCGCACCGTCCCTCATTCATTCAGCCGAAGTCTGGGGAGACTTGACTGTGGTCTGAGGCCATCAGCAGCCACGGGCTGACGGGCGTCCAGAGCGCCTGGGCCGGAAGACGGCCCTCCCAGCAGACGCGCTCTGTCAACAGAACTTTGCTCTGTGTGTGTGCTGCTCTTGCCTCAGAAGCCGACACCTCTGATCTGTGAGACTCACGCTCTCCCGGAGCCTGTGCCGGGGAGGGGTGCCACCTCACGGCACCACCTTCTCCCGTTCAATGCCATGGCCTCGGGGGACCCATCGTGTCCAGAGATCAATTAACTCCTGACTCCTTTTTCCAAAAAGAAGCACTCACAGGTCTTACATGATTCAACTTGCGCCAAGTGATGTTCACTCCTTGAGTTAATTCTCTTTCCAAGCCCTTTAAACAGCACGAGAACACGGTGCTGTGTGTCCCTTACCCACCCCAGCCCACATGCACACACCCCTGCTTTACCTAAGTGACTCTTGAAGATCGGTTGTAAGTCAGGCTGTGTCCTCAGCCTGCAAACTTTCCTTCCTGTAATAAATCCTACATGATCGTAGTAGGTTACTCTTTAAATGTGCTGTGAAATTTAACTTGCTAATATTTAAGTGGGATTTCCCACCTATGCTAAAAGGTGAGTCTGGTCTACAGTTTTCTATTCTGGAATCCGGAGGGATCTTAGAATTTTTAAAAAATTACTGGTTTATTCAAGTTTCCCATTTTGCCCAGTTAAAATTTTTTCTATGTATTAGAAACACAATTTATTGATTGTGTTTTATAATCTTTTAAAAGTCCTCTATACTTATTCATTTCTTCCTTCAACAAATACTATGCTTGACTTTATAGATTCAGTTCCTAACAGAGAGGCTGCCATGGAGATGTCACATTTTAGGGATTTAATCACCGTGCCTG